CACTTTCTTTAGAACATTTTTCCTGAAGTTTTCTGTCTTTAATTTTTTTTTCCTTCTCTTTTTTTGTTTAATGCTGGCGATTTCCCAGGTGGGCCCATGACTGCCCACTGCGGGGGTGACGGTCCGCGGCCCCCGCTCTCCCGGCGCCGCCAGCCTGTGGTGCGGCTCTGCCCGGGAACTTCAGGGGTTTGTTTGTGTTCTGCTAGAAGGGCCCAGAAGTACTTCGGTCCCTGGTGATGGTGCGTGTGGTGTGGGGCGTCACGCACCCGTGTGATCTGTAAACGGGCCTGGAGCTGGCGGGTGTTGGGAGAGCCGAGCGCGCGAGGACCCGGGCCCAGGGCCTTCTCCTCCCGCTTTTGATCCTTGTGGTGAAATGCAATGATACTCGTTTCAAAAAAGCTCACGAGGCCTTTACAAAAAAAAGACTTTAGCAGTCTGTTAAACCTCAGGGCTCGTTGGCGCTTTGAGGGTGCAGGTTTCAGGCATGGAAACCCTTGTCGAGGGATTGAGTGACCTGTCGTGCTGTCGTGTCGAGTAAGAGGCAGCCTCGAGATGCTCTTCCCAGACCGCTGCGCTGCTCAGACTTCATCGGCAACATTGAACATATCGTACGTATATATTTATTGAAGTGAAAACTGGAGAATTACTTGCTGTTTGCTGCCAGTGTTCACAGACATCCTTATTTCATTTTGTGCGAGATGGTATTTTACTTCCAGTTCAGTTTATGAACTTGGCAATAACCTTTAAAATGGATGAATACTCTTCTCAGACTTGCTGCCAGCACAAGTCTCCTGAGCATCATTAAACTAGCGTGTTTGCAGGACCTGTTCCTAATTTTCCTGAGTGTTTTAAAAAATAGGAGTGAATCATTTGGGATAGCGCTGTGTTGGAAATTTCTCTTCAGGAGGTTTTTTTGTTTGTTTCTTTGGGGGGGTGTTTTATGTTTTTGGAAAATGGAATTTTTGGGAGTTAGAAAAAACGCATTTGAAAGACATTGGGCTCATTTTTCAATTTTGGAGTGCATCCTGTACTTATCCGCTTGAATGAGTGAAGTTAGTCAAGTACACAAGACATGAATGATACAATGTGTTTATTTTAAAGGTTTAACTTCACCATGCATTTAAGATTCTTCTGTAAATCCAGCGTTTAGTTCCTAACGATGATGTTTAAGTATGAAGGGCCAAAGTCTGTGATATACTGAGAAAAGCTGTTTGGAATGTATTTGACAAAAAAAGCCCCAGATGTTTGTTTATGAATTTCTTTGTTTTTTATAAGATTATTGGTAGGTTTACAAAACTGTGAAGATAAAAAATGAAACAAACTCAGATGTAAAAATATTTGTATATGCTTATACACCTATAACAATGTATTTTTCTTCCTTTTTTAATATAATTTCTTCACTAAGAATGGGAAATCCCAAAGCTGAAACTTAAGATGCAAGTTTTAAATATTTTGGAAAGTGTGATTTACAGTTGTAACTGAAAAAGCGGGGCAAGGCGATTCAAACATAATATAAAATTAAAGGAAATTACCAGGTAACACTGAACTCTCTTTTCAAAACAAATAATCGCCTCTAAGACAAACCCCAAATCCTTGAGCTCTGCTCTGCTGCTGAGCTATGTTGACACTGATGAGTTCTAGCAGCTCTGTCTGCGTCAAAAATACCTTGGGATCAGAGCCTAAAAAAGAACATGAATGTCAAACCTTACTTCAGAGACCTGAACTTCACATCTCTTGACTCTGAGTTGTAATCTGTGGAAATGTAGTCCATTCTGTGTAATTCAAAGGCGTTCAGTTCAGAACAATTAATATTTTTATGTTGAAAGTAGCCATATCTGTTATTCTTCATGGATCTTCTATGTCAATATTCAGTCTGTGGCTCGCAGTGTTATTTATTACTGACTTCTGATGCTCAGTTTGGTATCAGAAGGGGAGAAATACAGCTACGTGTTGAATATTGGATCCCTGACTGATGTCTGAGGCTGGACCCGTCCTGTTCTCAGATGTCCAAAGATCACTGGTCGCTTCTGAATAGCTGCCACTCTGTTCTTACAGACATTTAAGATTCTCTTAACTCCATTTGTGTGTGTGTTGTGTGTCTGTATTTATTCTATCCTTTACATTTAACAGGATTTCTTGTACTTAAAACTAAGTGTATATGTAACTGTTTACAGTAATAGCCACTATTTACAGGTGAAAACTCTGTTGCTCCAGTCTTGAATCTTTTCAGGAAGTTTGTTTGCTAGTGCTTAATGAAAGCACTTCTACTATGGCATACCATCTACTGCAAATTCTTTATTTTTGCATGAATGTGTTGCTACTGTAGAAATAGTGATAGAAATGCTAATGTCTGTAGCTAAGAATTTCTCTTAAAGCATTAAAACATTGATCCTATTAAACACTATCAATCCTTTCTAAAAGCTGCTCAGAAGAGACCAATTTTCTTAGTCCACTGCCCATGTAACCTCTTAGGAAGATGCTTATTGCCCCTCTCTTGCCGTGTGTTTGGACAGATGTGCAGTACTGTTGATCCACGTATGCACAGCAGGCCTGAGGCATCCCGAAATCCAGTGTGTTGCAGGCCTGTGAACAGTAGGTCTGACGCTTTTGCTGTCTGTTTAGTCCCTGCTTTTGCTTAAGGGACTTGGAGCAGAGGCTTCCCTTCAGGGTAGTTGATATAATCTCTTTCTGGCCACCCTATTTCTTAAAGTTCCTTCCTTGTGTCCTGTGACCTGCTTGAACTCTTGTGGGCGAAAATCAAAAACAATCAAAAGAGAAAACTTGTTTAAAATATTGTTTTTAATTAAAAAAAAAACACTATCAGGAAAGTCTAGCTGTGCAGAGAACAAGGTTTCTGGTGTTTGAGTAAGGGATGAAATAGCTAATAAAATTATGTATATGGGCTTGTTCCAAAAGCTTTTAGATTTGAGCACATGCGTAATTCACTGAGGTATGCTTATGCTTAAAATTAAGCATGAATTTATGTACTCTGCTGGCTCAGGACATTGATGCCATACATGAGGTTAACAAACACTAAGTGGAAAACTTACTATGAAGTGTCTCGTTCTTTTAAAAAGGAGCTTATGTTGGCCTGCCAAATGGATTGCAAACGTTATTCATCGCGTGAGGGTAGGGATCTCAGTGTGTAAATGCTGCTTGCAAGTTGTTGATGTTGGGCTGTGCGGCTCTTAGGAGGGTCATGATAAGGCTGAAATCCCCTCTAATACCAGTTCTGATATTCTTACTGGCCACGGTATGAGTTTTGTCCTGTTAAGTGACTTAGTGAAAGCTATATGAAATATGTTAAACAAACTTGTTATATAAACAGTAACAAGTCAGATTATTCTGGAGAACAGGGAATAATAGTAATTAAAGGGGAAAAAAAGTAAAAATTTGTCACAATAGAGCAGTTTATCTATCAATTCGTCATGTTTTTATACATATGCACAAATAGTAGCTTTTCTGCTTCCATCTGTAATTTCTGATAGTAGACCAAGAGTTGAATGGCTGCAGGGTTGTTTAGTGAGCACTTACTGTGCCCACATGGGCTAGAATCTTAAAATGAGAACTTGTAATGAATACGAAACTGTCTGAGTAACTCATAGCAGAGTAGAAGAAAACAACCAATCTGTGATTTATATTTGTGCATCTGGTTACACCAGAGGCTTGTGGCAGGTTAGATGTGACAGAGGGAGAAAATAAATCTTTGCGTGCCCAAAGCAGAGAAGTTCTTGGAGCGCTTGAGTGCCTGAGTTTGACAGTGCCCTCTATGGCATACGTGTTCGGCCATCCTGTTACGTGCTAAGGATAAACATGGGAATGGGTTGTTGGGGAAGGGAAATGACAAGTACCCAGGAAGATCTAGAAGAATGCGTAAGTAGAGATGGATAGTGAGGCATGCTTAAGCAGGAGCGGAAGGGAAAGTCTTTACTAGGAGTTCAGCGAACCTCAGAAGACCAAAGTTTGTCATGCTGTAGAAGCTTGATTGCTACCAGATGGACTGCTAGTGTTTTTGTGGATTTTCTTAGGCAAGCTTTCAGACCTCTTAGACGTGGGACTTTGGTTGAAGGGATGGGCTGCACGCTACGAACCTATTTGCTCCCCGTGGAAACACCTTTCCTTCAGCCCCAAAGCTTGTGCCCTCCTCTTCTGTGCTTTTTGTGAATCAGCAGGGAGAACTTGCTAGAGTGTTTTTTTTATTTTTTTTTCCTGCCTTCTTTTTAACCCTACTAACACTGCACGGGATTGTTCTGGTTGTTTGCAGTCATTTGTTATCTTGTGGTACTCTGTTATTTTTCCTTGCAGTTTTGGTTAATTTCTGGTACGTTGGTAATGCACTCTTTTTCCCTCTCTCTTTCTGTCCCTGTGAGGACAAAAAGGCTGAAATGCAGTCCTAGCTTGGAGGAGATGTTTCTGCGTGTTTGTCTACCTCTCTCTCCCTTATTACAGCCGTGAATCCCCCCCTCCCCCTGTTGGGCTCCCCTGCCAGAGCCCCTCCCCTGGCTGGGAGAGGGGATTGGAAATAGGGGGCTCTTGCTTTGTGAAGGAAGCTTTCTTTCACTGCCTTGCTCAGAGGTGCCTCTGAGAGGAGAACTGATGTGATTTTGTTAACTTTGGGGCGGAGGAGGCGATTTTAATGGTCATGGAGCTGCGTTCAGTCATTTTATTCTGTGCCGTTGTGGCAGGAGCTTCAGGGAGTAAGTAGAAGAAACTTTTTCCTCCACTAAGATGCCTATCTCTTCATGTAAAACATTTCTGCGTAGGAATGACCTCACTGGCAAAACATCTGGGATATTGTAAATTAGATTACAGCTTGTAGGTCTGCAGTAATTCTTGTTGCAGCTTTGTCTTGATTTTCAGCACAGTGTAGCACTTTGCCTTACTGAGCTCTCTGGGTGGCACATGGGCAGGTGGGAGGGCACCCTGCATTTAAACGAGTGCAAAGTAGTGTACCTTCCTTCAACGTTACTGGGGAAAGCAGCAGAAACAGTGAGATTGTGCCAGTTGATTCATTATCTCGCTTGAAAATAGCATGCAAAAAATGAGCGATAGTCTGCTATTCTAAAATTGTGCTCCCAGATATTGGAACATGAAGGGTTCTTGAAAGAGTGAAAAGTTCTTGAAAACGTTGCTGTTGTCATCTGAAGGAGATCAAGCGCATGCTGCTTCTAAAACAAAAATAAATGATAGAAGAAAATTTAAAACTTCAAAAAAGCAAAGAGCAAAAACTCTTATGTTTAGACACCTTGACAGAGTGCTGATTGTCAGAAGTTGTCAACCTAGCACAGTGTCTGTCTGTGATAAGCACGTTTGAAAATCCTGACCACGGCATTCAGGTGTCCGCACGGGAGCTGAGAGTGCTCTTGAATCTGGTCCTGAGCACAGGTGCTGAACATCTTAAAAATCTGATGCTGCATAGCAGAAATGATTTTTCTGGGTTTGTTTACCATATTTATGTCAAAGTGTTTGAATAAGATAATACTGACTTCTTGTATGTAAAGGCCATTAACTTAACACTAACTTTTTTCACCATTCAAAAGAAAAGGGGGAGATAGATAGCCCTTTTCTTACCTGATCTAATAGATACTTAGAGATGCTTTTTTTTTTCCCAAGGAGATTGAGTTCTTTTTGTTCAAATGCAGTGCAATTGGAAATTTAAAGTTAATGCATATATGTGTTTATATATAGATAGGTATATTCATAAAAAATTAATAGTCCAGTGATAATTTTCATATATTACATGATCTGGACTCTCCATACCAGCAAATCTTCTGGTTTTGCAGATGTCTGTAGCGCTAGGATCAAGTTTGCTTGAAAATAACGTGTTCATTCACACTTCTTAAGAAGTCAAACGTGAAACTTCCACATGGAGAAGTAATGCTGCAAAACAAAAAGGAATGTTCCTTGGGAGAGAAATATAGATGTGAGGATAAAATCTTTCCAAGGAGGGATAATTCTGTCCTCCAGAAACCCAAAATTTAATTTGGGAATAAAAATGTATATGGCTTTGAGTGGGTGCTAGAGGAACAAATGTTTTCTTATTTTTGTTCCAAAGCCAGTGCATTCCCTTCTGAAATTTAAAAGAAGAGATCAGGAGAATGGAAAATATGACTCCAATTAAATAATACAAATGTGTATTTTTAAATGCAATAGTTTGACAAAAGCATTTCCTTCAGGTGTATGGTGCATATAAAGTACCTAACATCACAGAAACAGAATAAAGAGTCACTTTCACCTTTTGTGTCTGGTGGGTGGCAAAGCTAAGGAATACTGAGATGCTTAATTACAGCTGAGCAGGAAGTATCTAGTATAGCATAGGTTTTCGGAGGGCAGTTGTACTTACTATGGATCTTCTTACTGGAAGGAGTTATTTTAAAGAAAGGGATTTATAAATAATGGCAAGTTAGGGCTGAATGCTTTTATCAGTACTACTTAATAAAACCTTTTGTTATGGGTATTAATTAAGTAAAATTGTCTGTCAGCGTGGTACATGCAAGTGCCATATACTTGCAGTGCGGCAGCACTTCAAACACAGATGTTTGATCTTGGCTGTTCCTTGTATAACACAGCAGTGGATATGGGCAGCTGAGATGTGACAGCTTTTGCAGAGTGCACGTTCCTGTTGATATCTAGGACTTGGGGTAGGTTGCTGAGGTGAGTGCCAGGGAGTGTTAGGAGTACAGGATCAGGTCCCGGAACGAGCGTCCTCTGTGTGCCTGTCCGGGGGCTCCTCTCAGTATTCCTGTAATTCGGCTCAAGTTTATCACGGAAGTTCCCAAGAGAACGGTACCACTAGGCCGGTCTTCAACATCATGTCTGTGCCTTTTCCAGGAGTGAAAATGATCTCTGGTGGTTTTGGTGACCTTGCTTTTCATGTGCTGAAGTCTTGTTTGTATTCATCTAGCCTTTTGAGTGCCCAGGCATCATGCTTGTACAGGCAATCGCACTGATTGCACAGGAGTTAGAGACCCTCAAATGTCACTGTTGCCTAATCTCTCTATGAAAGCAATTTTTCTTCCAGTTAATCACGTACTTATGTGTTATCTAGTTGCGCTTGAAATAATTAGATGAATGTAATTCTGGCAGGCTTCTTTAAGGTCACTCATTGTCAGAGCATTCGTGTGAAACTCCTACTAGCTTCCAGGGCAGATGTGTAAGCACTGAGCAAAGAAGGGGAGCGGCGGCTGTGTGTGTGTGTGTGTGTGCGTGCGTGCAGCGCCCTGACTGCGCCTCCTGCTCCCGCCGTGCCCGGCTGGAGCCCATCCATCTCCACGGGTAGGTGTGTCCTGCAGTCCCTTGAACTCGCTGCTCTCTTGGTGGAAGTCTGAATAGAAGTCATGCTGGAGAACAGATTCTCCAGGGTTAAAGGATGTCTTAAACAACGGCTAGCATTGACTTGCAATGTTTAACTCTTTGTTCCTTAGCCTGCTGTGCTGGAAAAGGTTTCCTTCATCAGTAAAGCTTGCTCCTGTTTGTGCTTTAAATGATACTTTTGATCTCTTGAATGGCCACGTGCAATAAAAATCTCAGCTTAATAGAAATTTTCCCTAACCGCGATAAATTAATGTAAAAGCCTATGGCTTTGAAGTATGGCATATCATATGTGTTTTTCTTTTCCTTCTTTTTTTTTTTTTGGGTTGAGAATCCCTAGTTAAGTAGGCATCATTGTCTTTTGCATGAAGCAGAACCTTGCTTAGCTTAAATGCTGCTGAGAATATGCAGGAGTTGGGGAACGAGGACTTTAATGTCTTTCCCCTTCTTTGATAATGTTGTCACATTTCCATACTTATCTCAATAAAAACACAAAGGCATGTAATTCATTTGTGTATGTGCTGTGTGTGGTACACATATATGGAAAGTGGTGAGAGCAAAGTCTAGTCCCAGTGTACTCGGTAGCAAAACTCTCATGGATTTTTTGGGCCAGGCTTTGGTTTCTGCTTGGAACAGCTCATTGAATAGCTGAGGCTAGTGAGCTACAAAAGGAAAGAGAGGAGAGGAGGGTAAAATTGCACTGACCTTTTGTGTGTTCACATGTCTTAACTCTGAACTTAAATGATGTTTAGCTCCTAAATAATTGTCTCTAAGATGTTTCTGTATAAGAGAATACATAAAATCTTAGCCCACCCAACCACCCCCAATTTTATGTCCATTTCTACTTGTTCTATCTGGAAGTCATGAAATTAGATTACAGGGAAGAAAAATGCTACAGAGGTTTTAAAAAGAGAATACGAAAGTAAATTTCAATGCCATTTTGGAAGCCGCTTCAGTAAAACTCTTTCTTCCTCTGCCTCTATTTTATGTCCACATTGTTTATTTTCTGTCACTGGATGTAGGACTTTATTGTTACGAGATACTGCCTCCTAAACGTTCTGGTCCGTTGATCACTACAAATATGTTCACTGCTGGTTTAACCTGTGTGTATTTATTCTCCTTCTAACTTAGATATAATCAGAAAACTTGATTATGGTTACCTTTTTGGTTAGGAGGGAAGTGGGATGAATGAAATCTGGAAAACAGTAACATAAAAATTAGAAAGTTTACCCAATCCTATGGGTTCATGAACTTACTTGGATATTCTTAGAGCCACGACAAAGTTTATGAGAGACTTATTCTTTGCTTCTACTACTTTGATTTGTCTTTTTTGATTCTTTTGGTTAATTAAGTCTTTATGCACTAATAATTCTCTTTTGTGAAGGAGACTTTTAGGATATCTCCTGTCATTCATGATTATTGTTTTTCTCTCTTCTGTGAGCTTTTTGCTATCTTTAGGGCAGCAAATGGACAAGAAGAAAGAAATGATAAATAGATACATGTCTACATAAAAGTACATATTTCAGTGCATATTGACTAAAACAACAACCTTGGGCCTCATCTGTCCTTTTCTTTCCCTCCCGAGTAAGCTACAAAGGAATCCAGCTCCACTGTGCCTGGCCGAAGGAGCCACCGTGATGGGCTCCTTTGTTGGGAACATGCAACCCCCAGGCTCTTGGTTGTGAAATTGTACGTGGATGTCACATTAGGGCAAATGGTGTCTCTAGTAATACAGAATAGATGAGAATCGTTTGTAACAAATGCAAAGGTGGGTCTTACCACCAAGCTGTTGGATAGGATCCTTGTGATTTGCCCTGACATTATAGCTCTTAGGATAACTACGCATGCCTGCCCTAAGACATTCATGTGCTGCTTCTTGATGTTTCATGTTAGGTTCACTGTAATTGAAAAGCAGCAGTGTCTATCATGAGAGCTGCACACACATTTTTAGTGCCCTTCAGTAATCTTTTCTGTTGTTGCAGGATCCTTGGAGAGTTTAAGGCATGGAGCTTCCTGTTTTGCAGAGTGTGTAGGTGAGTAAAACAAGCTGGTGTTCAGGCCTTGTATGTGATAAGGTGGGAGGGTTTGAAATCCTATTCCCCTTCAGCAAGGATGTTGTGTTTAGAAGAACGTAACTTCTGTCTGAGCTGGGGTGGACTGTTTGTGGTGTGATCTGCGTTCATGGAAATAGCTGAGAAGTTCCACTGAGCTTTACCTGGCACAAATCTGCCTCAAGTTCACGTTCTCTGAACTCTCATAGCTGATAAACGTTAAATAGTAAATATTACTATTATATTAGTAATAGCTACCTAAGCTATTGAACTAAATGCAGAACAAAAGCCAGCCGTGTATGAATGTCTCTCTTCAGTATCCGATGGTAGCTCCTTCCACACTGAAACAGGCATGAAGATTTCCCCTTCAATGGGCAGGCACAAAACTTTTATTTTCCTAAAGGGAGGAACAGACAGAAAAACTGGATAGTGCGCTGACCTGGAAAGATTTGGTTAGAATGGCTTGAGGTGCAGTTTGTAACTGAGGCTTCTCGTTTCCATTGCCAGCAGATGCCTGAATGTGCGCAAGTGCTTTTCAGTGTAACAGAATGGGGTCCCACGAGTGTTCTGCTCCCAAGGAGATCTCATCCTGACCTCTTAGCTGCCTGCCCAGATAGTGTCGCTTATAGACCCTCTGCTTGTTTACCATCACTTAAGCTCTGCCTGGGTTCATCATTTGAAAGTGCTTGAGCGTCTTAACGCTGCTGTGGGGTAGAGAAAAGGAAGCCCGGTATCATGGAAGCCACAGTGGTTGTTTTTTCCAGGTGTTGCCTTCTTCACCTGAGGCAAGGCAGAATATTTTTATTGAATTTTCCCTTCTCTACAGTTCAGTGGTCCTAGTTAAGGTCAAATTATGATATCTTATATTTTAAGAACGTAACATTAGTCACAATCTCTCATACCATCGCCACCAAAACGTCTCACGTTGGAGGTATTATGTCTCTGATCTTCTCATCCTTTCAAGATTAATTCTTATCACCTGGTCTAGAAGAGAATCTCCTTTGACTAGAGGAATACAGAGACTGTGTGACACGCATCAGGGTATCTGCCATCATATTCACTAGATGACAGTGCTGCCCATGGACACTCACCAAGAGCTATTTCAAATGGCATACCTTGCAAGGGATCTTTATACTCATGCCTGTTCAGCAGGGCATAATTGCGTGGGCAAAAAGCCAATTTATACAGTCATGCAAGAGTTACATCCAAGCCTCTTGACAATTTAAAGTGGATCATTCATGACGTGTCTGTTAAATGGCATCTTTTTTGCTTGCTTTTTTTCCCCACTGTCACTGTTTTCTGCAGATATATTTTACATAAGTAAATCAGTAATATGTTGTACCATGGTAGAGAGAAGGTTGTCCCAAACTCCAGGCTACACAAATATTTATTAGGGTATATTCCATACAATGTGCAACTTATTGTCTAAGCTTGATTCCACTGAAAGTACTGCAGTAGGTAGCTCTGGCTATAGTCTGTGGAAATTCTGCTTTAGTATCGATCATAACTGCAGACTTGGGCAAGTTTTCGTCCTTATTTGCTTATGTTTGCACAGATGTAACAAAAATGATTTTTGTAGTCTGACTTCTGATCAATGTCCATATTAGGGGAAGGAGGTTAAACTCTTTTCTGTATAGTATTCATCTTCATACAAATACAATCTCTGTCTTCACATGCCTTCATTTCCTCAGCCCAGGTCTTCTAGGGCAGGCTTTCAGAACTGAAGTTTTTACTTTAAAAGCATTCATCATTTAATTTGTCTACGTACATGTAGCTTACAGCACAGATGAATTGCACTGCGTATGTCAGAAAATCTTTGTCGTCTTGGTGTTATCAAGGTCCCGCTCTGTGTCCTCTGGAAGGTGTCAAAGGTGCCTTGGGTGCGTTGCAGACCCTTTCTGCTCTTGCAGGTTAGACTCCTACCTTGATGGAAACTGTCAGGCTACATGCATAGGAGAGAGCGAAATTCTTTTCACCTTTCACGTGGGAGCTCTCTCTAGTATGCAGTGTGCTTTCAGAAACCTACTTCTTTCCATTGTAAGTCCAAGTGGGTAGGGAACATTTTGAAAATCCAAGCCCTAGTTTGTCTGCTTTCAGTGGCCAGCATATTTAAAAAGAAGAAAGAAAAAAAGAATGGGGAAGAGAAAGCCTTCATTTTCTAATAGACTATAGAAATGTTTTGTTGTTTGTTTCCTAGGACACAGTGCAGTGTACTTCCCCAAAGGAGCTAGATACAGCTACAGGTATTCAGCAGTCACCACCACATTCCTGCAGGGAAGCATTTACAAAAGCAGTGGCATCTCTCTGGAGAGCACAGTGACCATTGAGGCACTGGGGAGGTGCCAGATGGTTTTGAAAGTGAGTATTGTCATAACATGTGAGCGACTGGGATGGAGCTGTGTCTTTCTTTGGTTTTACTCATAAATAAAAAATTTATTTAAAAATGTATTTTAAATATTTGCTTTTCTTGTATTTAAAAGTCAGTTAAACTCTGGGACTTTAGAGTTGCAGAATTGCTCTGATGCTATACAGCTTCAAATTAGTTATAAATATTAGCCTATTTTAAAGGGCAAATAACATAAATCAATTCTTTTCCTAAATGGAACAGCTGTTTCACTGTTTTGTCATGCGTAGAGCAGAAATGGAGATGAAGCTAGTCCCTTTGAAAGGAGTTTGATTTATTTTTAAGCACTTTCCTATCTGTAGCAGTAAATTAAAAACAGCAAAGCTTTTAAAGAAAACTTGAGTAACTTCTGGGATCTGTTGGACTGGTGCCATGCCTAGCATAGTAGAGAATTCAGTTTTGTAATGCTCCATTGATCTTGATGGGAGATCTCTGTCCCATTGACAAAGCAACAGGCCAGTTTTCAAATGCAGACCTTTTTCTGGGGTGAGCTGTGCTGTGGGCCAGTTTGAGCACTACAGTGCCTAGCAGGAGGAGCATGGAAAATAACTTCTCTTATGTGCCTTAGTTTTCCTTCAGGTTAACAGAGGGGCTTATTCATGGGTTCTGTGCAGCAGAGCTGTGAAGGGTTTGTTATGTGTGTGTACATATATTCACATATATATGAGGCCAGCAAAGAATAGGATAGTTACCTGCGTAACATAGCCATATAGATAGAATTGACTCACCAGTGGTCCCATGGTTTTACATGAAAGGTGAGAATTTGGGTGAACTCTCTTCAGACTGAATCACTCTCCTCTGCCTTGCAATATCAGTGGTCAGACTCTCCGTCTTCTAGCTCTTTATTTCAATTTGAGTGCTCCTAAAATTGACAAAAAAAAAAACCCAACCACAGTTGGATGCTTGTCTTTATTAAAAAAAAAAAAAAGACATATATAAAAAAGGAGGAAAAAATGACCAGCAGTTACAATCTGTATTGCAGGAGGCAAAGAGTCGCCATTCTTGTTCTTTCATTTGAGAACATTTCTTCCTGACCACAACCAGCCAAATTGCAAGTACCTTAGGAAATTCTGTAATAAACTCAAACATATGTTTTCTCCTCTGAATTCAGTGAAAGTAAGCTATGAAATGTCTACTAAGCATTGGGCACTTGTCCCAGGTTTAGTCTCAAAATTCTACCAACATGGTAGCCAGTGTGCTTTTCCACCTCTGTAGAAAGGACTTTTGTTCAGCCAGGCTCTTACTTTCTTCCCACAGAGTAGGTGATTGGGGCTTGAAAATAAAAGGCATATAGTAATGCCATATAAAATGTATTTAATAATCTGTGAAACTTCTTCATAGAAGAAATTATGTGGAAGTAGTCTCAGATGTGCATCCTGAAGGTGTGACTTGGGCTTTTGGGGCTGTGCTGATTGCCACGCTAAGGCTTTTTTCGTAGTCTGCTTCTATTTACTTGTCCTTCAGTGACAGAGTCCACAAGTTCCTCTTGACAGTGATACTTGTTGCTCTACAATCTTTGTTTCTAGGTGCAAGATGTACAAATAAAGAAAATTCTTGCATCCAGAGAGAAGTCTCTGAAGGAAATGGACAGTCTAAGGTAGAAAAACTTCTAATCTGGCTTAGTTCTTGGTTTTTTTTGAAGCTATATTGTTTAGCAGCACTTTCGTACCATTGACTGTATGTTTTGTACTCTGCTTAGTTTTAGTTGTTTGAAGAAAAACAAGGATTAAGGAATGCCATGAGCAAAATGCCCTCATTTGGTCAGATTTTTTTTGAATTTAATTTTCACCCCTTTTATATGTGAAAACAATCGGGGACTAGACAATTAAAATGATTATGGGTACAAATTATCTGGTATCTAGCTGGCTAACTGTGTATATGGATAGCTCACTAGTTATCTGAGTTGCAGTTGTTACTTAAACAGACTCTTGAGTTTTGGAAGTCCATTTCAAAAGGTTTTGTTTTGAGGGAGACTCTATTTCTCAAAATGCAAAATGCTCTTTTTTCTTCCAAGACATTTAAGTTGTATTTATTTTTCTAATGTCAACTTCTCTCTTTTATGTTCTTGTTTTTGTTTTTTTTGTTAGCTCATTCATAACAGTCAGTGTATAGCCTTCTGGCTTGCAAAGCTATAGACACTTGTGAAGATGCCTATACAAAAAGGTCTCTTCAAACTGTGGAGGTCTGGTATTTTCCCAGAGATCTGATGCTTCTTGTGTCATCAAAAAAGGCAGTTCTGTTGTCTGATTAAGCTGAGCTTGGTAATCTCCCTCTTTGTCCTGCCGCTTAGATTCTCAGCCTTTAAACAACAATGAGAACTGAGGTAATCGACTCAATTCAGAGGGTCAAAAAGAGCAAGTTTGGAATAAATGCATTGCTTTTTATATTCATCAAAAAAGCTTTGTGTTCCACAATATGAGTGGTGCTGTCAGTGTTCATATCATTTGGAGTTACGGGCACATCTTCCTCTACAAAGTTTTTTGTAAGATTTTCATAGACGTAAGAGCAGTTACGTCTCGTTCTCTGTAGAGAAGCCAAGAAGAGAGGTAGCAAAGAAAGCATTCAGTGAAGCCTGGCTATTGAAAATGATTATTCAGACTGGCAAACCTTATTAGCATTTGCCTCAGCCTATTGTGAATATACTGTAGCCTGGCTTGTCCTGTGAACATGCATGTAATTTCCACAGATAGTAGTAGAAGCAAGCACAGTTGCTTAGGAGTACAGAAACCCTTATCCAACGTGCAGTCTCTTCTTCTGCAAAGACTTCATTGAGCTGTTTGGTGCATTCAAACTGTTTTTTCTCTTACATTGCTTTTATGCCCCCATTGGTTAGACAGTTAGTTCCACAGTTAACGTGCAGATGACTTGCATATCTCCCTTTATGGGAGCTGACCACTGGGCTACTATAAAATTCTTTTCCTTCCTTTGGGTGGCTTATTTCCTCCCTTTTAAAGGAATTTTTCTTCCTTTTAAAGGAATTTGATCCTTATGATCAAAATACATGATATTAAGAATGAAAATCAGTGTAAATTGCGATCTCTTTCTGAAGCGGAACTCTCTGTACTCTCAATAGGCAAAGCTGTTGGGACAGAGAGCGGACTGACAACAGAGAGTCGGGGATAACATGTGGAATAGAGAGATGACATCTGGGATAGAAGCCAAGTGTGCATACCTAGCAAAGAAGGAAGATATTAACTCTGAATTGATTGGAAGGCAATTGTTTTTGTGTATATCAAAGCTGAAGAGGAACATTAGAGAGAGCACGTAACTGAGACATGCTTACCAAGGCACCCTGAATCATGAAAAGGCATCCTCATTAAATTGAGTTGCTCTCTTAATGGCAAAGATTCTAGTTTAATGTATAATCACGTTTAAAGAGTTGCCTAGGAGCTGGCCTAATTAAGTGGTACATTTACGTACCACTCTGGTCACCTTGTTTTTTTTTTTTTTTTTTAAAGGGATTTTAGAGTCAGGATGAATTAGTGAAGAGTAGAGGTTTGTTATAAACAACAGATACAGAGTAAAAGAGATGCATTGTGGGGGAGTAACTCTGTTCATAAAAATCTAAGTCTAATATAGTAAACTGACTTGCAGCCACTATTTGAAGTAAGAAACTATAAACTGTTTTATTGCAGAGAAATACTAGAACAGCATCCTCTTCACTTTTCTTTCCACGATGGGAAAATTCTAAAGCTCTGTCCTGTAAGGAGTGAGCAGACTTGGGCACTGAACATCAAGCGAGGCATTCTTAGTGTCCTGCAGACATCGCAAGCATCCACTGCTGGTGGAGTCATTGAAGAGGTGAGAGTATTGGTAGGGTCATACTCTGAAGTGGCTGTTAGCCCTTGTGTATGTTAAGTCTACCCTCTTTTTAAGTAATTAAAAATTATTGCCACTTGGTGACTAGTCGGCAGCCTATGGTAATCTGATGGCGTTTTATAGTAAATATTATGAATTCACCTGTAATTTGCATTCTTTTTGGGAGTTGGAACCACTACTTTGTTACCTGAGGGAGAGCTGAGTACTGCAGAGTTTTGTGAGGAGGTGTTGTAACACCAGGGCATGAGCTTTACCTGTGCCCTGGGGGAGGAACAATATTCATAAAGGGGCTGATAGCATAGTCATTGAAGTAGCAGGAGTTTTTCATCGATTCCAGGAGGCTTTAAAATCAAGCTTCTCAAAGCTCTTGAAACATTCTGTCTTGAAGACATAAACTTACGTTCTGCTGTGTCACACTGAAATAATTGTCCAGAGTACCCCACTGGAGTCTTTGTTTGTGTGAGTACAGCTGAGATATCTCAATGGCTGTGCTTATCCTGTTGTGAAGAGCAGTGACCACCGACATGGTGTGCACTACCTCATTTTCGTGCTACTGCTGCGTATCAATGTTTAAATAGATGTTTCTCAATAACACTTGGGACATCATATGCAATTACATTTTTTCTGAGTAGAAATGCTTTTCTGAATTATGGCTTCCCTGGAAACCTGGAAAATATGAGATGAAAAAGCATATGTTTGTAAATGATCTGACTCAGAATAACAGAATGAAGTTAAAAAACAAACAAACAAACCCTGGATCTTACAAAATTTGATCAACATCTTTTAAATGATAGGCCTTGCCCCGTTTTTTGTGGCAAAGCCAGTTACCTGCAAGGGAGAACTTAGTTCTCTGTGCCATTGTTATCACAACAGAGCAATGATTTTAGTTCATTGTAATAGTCTGTAATACCTTCTTGTACTATGTGTTTTCCTGTATGATTCAATGTTGTGTTTGTTACTAGATGGATATTCTGGGAATATGCCCAACCCGGTATCAGCGAAAAGGTCCTGTTCTTGTGAAGACCCGGGACTTAAACCTCTGCTCTCATCGGTATTCTGGTTTTACTTCTGTGCAGTCTGTTGCTCTTCCTCATATGTCGGTAAGCGTTGGGGAATGATGCTGATGCTTGCATGGGTCCTTTTAGTTTCTTTGAAGGGTCTAAGTACCAGGTTTGCAATTCCTGTCATGTGCTTCTACTAGTGGGAACATTTTTGATAATGTAAGAAAAAGTATTTTAAAACATCTTACATCTCAGTTACATTTGTCTGTGTCTACTCACCCAAACTTGAATCTTGTACAATGAAATGGTGAATGTTATTGTCCACGTAATGCCTGTTAGTCACTGAACTTTTTTTAATGTGAATTTGCATAGTAGTTGATGAACTACATTAGAAATGCAACACACTGTTAGGCACGTGGATTAAACTCTATCATCAAAATATATTATGCTTATAGTGGTAAACTGAAAGTAAAATTAGAGCCTGGAAGGGTGGATTAGAGAGATGTGGTTGAAAGGAAAGTTCTCTTGTAAAGTATGTGTGTTATTTTTAGAAAACTTTGGAAAGATGTAAAGTTTTCCAAAAGCAGAACTTACAGCTTTCCACTGTTTATGTCAAATACAGTCAGTGTTTGTATCTTGTGTCGTTTTTACTAGGTGAAATTTACTTGTATTGTAGTAGCTAGTCATCATTTACCAGCCTTTGTTGCTCTCAGCTTTCTGCGGACCAAAAAGACCTGCTTAACACTGGTGCTTTGCAGACTGAAATCGTTTGAGACCATTTAACACTGAAAGTTGGTAACAGTTGCATTTCAGTGAAGGGTAGCGTAGACTGAAAACAATGAGCATCTTATCCTTTGTGCTCCAGGGGCTATCAAAAGTCTAGACAGGAGGCTTCGCTATGTCACAGAACTGGAATCCTCCATGAAGTTGGGAAAGAAAGGATTAGGCATATTGACGTAGGTCATCAAGGCTTTCCCTGAAATATTTGTCCTTCTCAGTCTGAGCAGCAGATCCTGTCCTCCAAACTAGAATGTGTTCAGAGCTTTAAGGATGGAATCCTGGCAGAGGCCAAATGCACTGACTCCAACCTCGTAATGCCATTCTCTAAGAAGGGCGGTGGGGCAAAGACACAGACACAGTCTTCACTGAAACTCCTTCAGGTGGAAGCAGACACACTGTACAAAAAAGGTAACACAATGTTTCTACTAAAGGCAAATTAAAATAGTTCCCTGGAAAAATCTTGAGACTGCCTCTTGCCTGTGGGAACTCCTTCTGTGCCAAATATTTCCTTTCACGTGTTAAAATATGTGAAAGGGAATGTTTGTACAGCTGGGCTACTGACAGTAGCCCTTTTTTGGGAAGTTGAGGGCCTGTAAGCTGCATGGATCTCCAAAAGTGATAGATTACCTGAATAGCCAACCCTTTCTCTGTGTCTTTTTTATCCCCTCAATCTAGCCATCTCGTATGCAAATTGTCTGTGGACATTTCCTAGTTTGCTAACAAATGGGGCTAAATAATTTTAAGTCCTAATGGAATTCAAAATAATGTGTCATATCTGAGAGCTGTTTCCTCACTTTTTGTTTCCTCTTCACTCTGTTCCCTTAGGAGGAGAAATTTACTGATGTTAATGAGAAGCTTGCTTGAGAAAAGATTTAAAAATTTAGCTCTAAATTTTGACAAACGTTTTATTTTATGTATGTATATATACCTATAAATTTCTTTTGTTAAGGGAAAATCCTAATTTCCGGAACACTTTTTGTTATGCTGACGTAAGATAACAAGATTCTCCCTCAGGAAGAGGTTAAGGGCCCAACCATTTATTTTTCTTGGCACTTAGGTCTCCTTCTGATTTTTTGGCAGTTTGAGAGTGTAGGACTGGGTGAGTAATTAGATAAAATTAGGAAGGATGATGAACATAAAGTGGTTAGGTCATTGTTATGGGCAAATTGATATAAAATGGGATTTTTTTCATGTGCATCTTTGTTTTGTTTCTCTGACTGTTTCTTCCAGGCCACAGTTGCCTTTAGGCCTACATTCTGCAGCATTCTTAAATTCAACCTGATTGGAAGCATGTTTATTTATTCCCTGGTTTTACTAGAGTGATTCTTACATGTAGAAATAAATCCTGAGAGAAGAACTTTTCCCTATCGCTTGGTGTTAGCCATAGCAAATGACCAGCAATCAGTTGTCTGATTTCTCCTTATGTTTTTTCAGTGGACTCTAAGGATCTATATGTGACCAACATGCTATATGAAATGGAGCAAACTGAGATACAATTCACTACAGAGGAAGTGACTGAATTAGTACAGAAGCTCTGCTTAGCTCATAGTGTGAGACTGGAGGTAAGCTTTTCCGTATAACCTCAGTTTCCTAATAATGCCATTTGTGCTCTGTGAGTTCTCTGTGGAGTTCTGTTCTACACAGCCAGGGTGTCTTCCAGCTGGACATGTTTAAAATCACGGTGGCACTATTACTGCTATCCCTTCATTATCATTCTGTAATCCGTAGAGGCAAAGCTTTGAGAAAAGAGATGGGCCCTCGCTTGAGATTTAGGAGGTCTAGACTTTCCTTCTTGTGTCTTCGGGTCCAATATGTAAGCATTGCACTACTACAAAAAAGGCAGATCATTTCTCTGGCAACCCTATAATCTATGATACAGCAAGAGAAAGAGAGCATAACAGAAGTGAAAAGAGTGCAGTAACAGAAGGAGGGAAATAGGATGGTACGTGTTATAGCCACAAAATTACGGAGGTCACTCGCTAATTAGCTGGGTAGAGCCAAGTGTTTGCAAATAATTTGAAATAGTAATTTGAAAAATAAATGAAGTACACTCAGACTCACTAGCTGGCTTGCTTCTTTACGTGTACCTTTTTGTTACATGCCTGCTTTCTGTACTTACTACTTTTGTTGTCCAACTTAAAGTGTTAAAATATCTCCAAGTTCTATTGTTGTGAATCAGCCTTTCAATCCTTATCCCAAGCTAGTTGGAATAAGGAAGGGGAAGCAGAAAGATATGGCTCTTCTGTGCAGTAGGTAGGTAAAGCCTCAAGGTGAATATGTACATTAGCATTTAACATTGCCATAAACTGCTGGCTATATGGTTTGCTTAATATTTAAAAAAATCTACCTAACCCTTGAAACGAAGATGAAGGAGTTGAAAAAGGTGTTGTTAAACATAATGTACATCTCCAGTGTCTTGAGATCTTTCACTGTTCTTCTTTGTGGATTTGTTCTTAGACGTGTCAAAGGGATAATGGCTCCATGTCCTTTCTCTGTTGGTGGTTATATGACTACGTAGCATAGGCCCAATTCTAAGAGTCAGCAGGAGTTTATCCTAAGTAACTCTATATATTCCTTCCAGTCATTACTGCGAAGCCAGGTCAAGGTTCTATTAAATTTTGGCTGGTGTTACAGGATGAAGAAAAAGCTTTTTTTTTTTTTTTGGTGGAGAAATATTAAATTGACTAAAAATTGTAATTTTTATTGAAAAGGGCAGTAATTTTGAAAATACTGAAGCTTCCATTGATTTGGGAACTTTTTATTGTTGAATTACAGAAATACAAAATGCTTTGAAGTGTCACTTTCCTATACACATCAGTAAATCAAACTTAAAAGAAGAGTCAGAAGGTCATATGACTTTTGAATATGGGGCAAAAACAATTTTTTTGTGTATTGAACTGTATTCTAAACTAGCCTGAAAGAAAATGTTCTTGGTTTTTGTTTTGCTGTGGAAAAAGAAACAAAAAAGTATCTGGTTTGGGTTGACCCAGAAG